CTTTAATAATAGTGGTTAAGAATGGAAAGTTCTGGTTATAGAAATTTCTGTGGTGCGGTGGTTAAAGTGATGGACTGCTAACCCAAAAATTAGTGGTTCAAAACCATCAGTGGCTCCATGGGAGAAAGATATGGCAGTCTGCTTCCGTAGAGATTTACAGCCTTGGAAACCCTATGGGGCCGCTATGAGTCGAAATTGACGGCAATGGGTTTGGTTTTTGGAATGGGTTAACTAACATTCATGCTTACCCAGCCTAACACATGAAACCCAAAACCAAACCCATTGCCATTGAGTCAATTCCCACTCATAGCGACCCTATAGGACAGAGTGGAACTGCCCTATAGGATTTTCAAAGCAGAAATGTTTATGGAAGCCAACTGCCACATCTTTCTTGTGCAGAGTGGCTGGTGAGTTCTAACTGCCGACCTTTTGGTTAGCAGCTGAGCACTTTAATCACTGTACCACCAGGGCACTTCCTAATGCATTAAATACTCAATATATGTTATATGCTTTTTTCAGTAAACCAAGACATGGCTTTGCCATTTAGTGGTTATTTAATCTAGGCCAAGTCACTTCATCTTTACAAGCTTTTGTTTCCTCATTTGTAAAATGGAGATTAATAACAACACCCCATATGTTTTTATGATGGCTCTAACCAACAGATTCTTTTGCTCAAATACCTTAATATTACTTTCTTCTCAAATGACTCATTTTGTAGCTACAACTTCAAAACCACAGCAAATAGAAAAGGGAGATAGAGAAGTCAGAGGTGGGAGAAATGTTAAGTAATTTATCAAGACATAAATACCAACATCTATTTTTTTTTAAAGTCCTGATTATCTTATTTCAAAGCAGTTAAGAAAATTTAATGAACTGAGTGCTTTGTAAATTGTAAAAAGCTCTCAAAAATATAAATCCTTATCATACAGAACCATAAACCTAGAAAATGTAATAAATTGGGCTGAGTTTAGCCTGATCTCAGTTTGATTTTTTATCATTTGTCTCATGGTATAATGGACAGGGGGACATTGGTAGTTCAATTCTCACTTTCCACGCGGGAGATGCAGTTTCAATTCCTGGCCAATGCATCTGATGTGCAGCTACCATCCATCTGTCAACGGAGGCTTACGTGTTGCTATAAAAAGGTTTCAGCGGCACTTCCAGACTAAGATTGACTAGAAAGAAAGGTCTGGCAATCTACTTCTGAAAATCAGTCAACGAAAACCCTCTGGATCACAATGGTCTGATCCTTAACTGATCATGGGGATGGCTCAGGACCAGACAGCATTTTGTTCTGTTGTGCATGAGATCGCCATGAGTCTGGAGTCAACTTCACACAGAAAACAACCTGATAGAGGCAGGAGCCCTGGACTAGGCGTTTGGAGATACAGAGTTAGTTGTAGCTCAGCCATTAGCCATGTGTTCCTTGTTGCAAGTTCCTTATCTATAAAATAAACTAGTTAAATTAAATGAGCTCATGGTTCTATTGTAATACGCTCCTGCACAAGGCACTGATTTTGCTCCTCTCCCTGTTTTCCTTTACTCTCAGACTCATTAGTTACCTAATTTTCTCTACCTAAAGTTCCTGTTATTTAGATTCCAGTCAATTAAAATTTGATTGTGATTGGTACTATTATCTCCTTTTTACAGTTAACACCAAAAAAAGATGAAGGGGAGAGGGAAAGAGAGGTAGGCTAACTGCCCAAAAATCCTCTTTAACACAGCAGCATTGTTGTTGTTAGGTGCCATCCAGTCAGTTTTGACTCATGGTGACCCTATGTACAACAGAAGGAAACACTGCCCAGTCCTGCGCCATCCTCACAATATATTAGCATTACTAAAACAAAAATCATTCAAGAAAAACAGTCTCTGAACATGACCCAAGTCAAAGACACATGGGCAAATCAATAAACCAATAAAACAAAGAAGAAATAGTATACTTAACATTTTATTAAACCATGTGATCTGCTATCCATACCAGTATGGCAGGTTTTTTAACTGCAACCAAGAAAAACTGCCCAAGGGTGATAGAAGCAGGAAAGGATGTTGGGTGGTTTAAAGCATTTCTGGAGTGGACAGAGATGCAGGCTTGGAAAACAAGCAGGACTAAGGGGGCCCTTGGTAGCAGAAAGGGACACAGACACGGTCAAGCCATTGAAACAGCCTTGTGAGGACGCAGTTGGCCTTGCACAGTCAGCAATCACACTCGATCCTGCTACTGAGATGAGACTGCTGATATTACTGTGTCTAGACAAAGTGGACATAGCTGGGCTGCAATTCCCCTATTCCTGCTGCTTGGCATCAATAGCTCTTGTTACTAGACCTGGGTCACTCTCTTAGTCATCTAGTGCTGCTATAATAGAAATACCACAAGTGGATGGCTTTAACAAAGAGAAATTTATTCTCTCACAGTCTAGCAGGATGTAAGTCCAAATTCAGGGCATCGGTTCCAGGGGAAGGCTTTCTCTCTTTGTTGGCTCTAGAGGAAGGTCCTTGTCATCAATCTTCCCTTGGTCTGGGAGCATCTCAGCGCAGGAACCTCAGGTCCAAAGGGTGTGCTCTGCTCCCGGCGCTGCTTTCTTGGCAGTATGAGGTGCCCCCTCTCTGCTTGCTTCCCTTTCCTTTTATCTCTTACAAGAGATAAAAGTTGGTGCAGGCCACACCCCAGGGAAACTCCCTTTACATTGGATCAGAGATGTAATTTTAGTAAGGGTGTTACAATCTCACGCTAATCTTCTTTAACATAAAAT